AAGTGCACATAAAAATAATATGTATTCTGCTGTTCTTGGGTAGTGTTTCATAAATACCAATCATGTCAAGTTGGTTGATAATGATGTACAGGTCTTCTGTAGCCATAATGGTGTGTGGTAAGAGTATTGTTTTTGTTGTTGTTGTTGTTACTGTTGTCGTTTTTTGCATGAGGCTATCTAGTTTTCCGAGCACAATTTGTTGAAAAGATACGTCTTTCCTCCTCAAATGGTTTTGGCACCCTTGTTAAAAAGCAATTGGCCACAGATGTATGAGTTTATTTCTGGACTCTCAATTTCTATTCTATATGTCTTTTCTATTCTACATGTCTATTCTATTCTATAGGTCTAAATGAATGGATCAGAAAGAAAACTAGCAAGATCTATATGTCTATCTTCATGGTAGTACCACAGTTGTGATTACTCCAGCTTTGTAGTAAGTTTTCAAATCAGAGTGTGAGCCCTCCAACTCTGTACTTTTTCAAGACTATTTTCAATGTTTAGGGCTTCTTAAAATTCCATGTAAATTTCAGGATCAGCTTTCCCATTTTTGCAAAAGACAGTTAAATTTTGATAGAGCTAACAGAATTGAATCTGTAGATCATATTGGGTAGTGTGACGTGTTAACAATTAAGTCTTCCAATCCATGAACATGGCATATCTTTCCATTTATTTACGTCTTCTTTAATTTCTTTCATCGACAGATGAAGAGAAAAACTATGACGCATAGTTTTCAGTGTACAAGTCTTTCATCTTATTAGTTAAGTAAATGTATTCCTAGGTACTTTATTTTTTGGATGTTACTGTGAGGGGAACTGTTTTCTTTATTTCCTTTTCCAATTGTTATTGCTACTATATCCTTTGACTTTTAACCTACTGAAGTCTTTAAATATAAAGTGAGTTTCTTATAGACAGGACTTCTTTTTTTTAATCCAATCTTTTAATTCATATGTTTAGAATATTTGCTTTTAATATAATTATTGATATGGCTGAATTAAAATCTACGATTTTGCTAGTTTTCTATTTGATCTATTTATTCATTGTTCTTTTTATATTTTGCTGATTAAATGGTTATTTTTAAATGATTCCATTTTATCTCTACTTTTCTCTATTTACATAACTTTTGAAAAAAAAAATTTTAGTTCCTCTAGGGTTTATAAATATGTATCTTGCTGTTCCTTGAACACCTCAAACTTATTCCTTGATCAAGGCCTTTATAGTAGATGTATGTTCTGTCTGGAATGCTTCTCCCCAGATCTTCAAATGGTTTCTTTCTTCATATAATTCATTCCCTGGTCAAATTTACTTCCTTTCCTCAGGGATGCTCTCCAAAACTACCTTAACTAAAATAGCACTGCACCTACCATTTCACTCTTGCTTTATTTTTTTTTCACAGCCCTTAACAACACCTAAAATTACATTTATTTGTTTAAGATTTTTCCTCACCTAGAACATACAATTTATATAATAGCAAATTTTATTTTTCTTTACTATTGTGCCCTTAGCAAGTAGGACAATACTTTGCACATTATGAATGAATGAGTACATGGCTCCATTATAAGACTGTCACATCAGAGTAATATAATATAGGACTAAGCAAATTACCAAGTACATATTAAAACTAAACTTGATATCTTGACAATAAGTTACAGAATAGTAAAACTGTTTTCTTTCTCATGACTATGTAATTAACTACTACTCATATTTAGAGAAAAGGGGAAAGAGAAACACTGTAAGAAAAATCTGGGTCAAAAATTAACACTTTAATGTCTATCTGTTATGCTCTTTGCATTGAAAGAACTTTAACGTTAAAAAAAAAAAAGACTTGGGAGCCACAGCTCCCAGTCAGGCACGTGATCACAAAGGTAACAACAGACACTCTACAGTTCATTGTGTGGACAGCATTTTTTGGAATAGTGTGTTCTAAGTATGTTTAAGGTAGGGTAGGCTAAGCTATGATGTTCGGTAGGTTAGGTGTATTAAATGCATTTCTGACTTACAATATTTTCAACTTATGATGTATTTATGGGATATAACTCCATTTTAAGTCAAGAAGCATCTGTATTGGCAGTAAAGGGTGGTGGAGGTGGATGATTATATTGGTAATTCAATATTTCCTGCTGGAATACAGATTTGAAACCCTTATTCTGAGAATTTTAAAGAATTCATGAAGTTATATTGGAAGGCTATAATCGAAACCTTTAGCAGATGTTCATTTTCTACCAGGAGTATGCTTAATACTTGCAAAGCAACTTTGCCATTTGTCAAAGTTCCAATGAGTAAAATTTTGTATCCTTGGATCTTAAGCACATTCTGCCCTCTGAAGCAATATCAAAAAAGGCTTACCAATTTTCCATACAATTACTTCTCAAATACTTGAAAATGATTATACCTATGACATTCTTATGTAGTCTCTTTAGTGCAGTCTAAAAATATCCAGGGCTTCCAAAGCCTTTCCTACAATGGCCAGAATGTCATCTGTAAACATTTGACATGAGTTTAGTATTCAAATTAGATACAACACTGTAAAATTTCTGTAAGCTACTTAGAATTGAATTGGATCATTATACTTCTAGGAAGATGGTACTTGAGATTTTGGGGGGATGCTGGGTGGTCATATTACATTATTGGCTAATTCCTGATTTCCTGTCAATTAAAATTTCTATGTCTTTGTTATATAAAGCATCATTAAGATATGTCTTTGAATTTTAAACTTAAGGGCAAGGCCATAGATTTATTTCTGTTAAATAATCTTTTATTTTAGTTTGTTATTCTGAATGGCTTGTTTAAATATTTTGGAATCTTGATTCAACATCCAACGTTAGCTACATTTCTGAAATATTTCATTTATACAATTCTGAAACATACCTCACATATGAAGATTTAAATAATAGATTAAAATACTTGAAGCATAGGTTTAGAAGGATTTCTAACATTTCTCCACTTCAACATGAATAGCCTCCTGATATAGTAAATCACTTATATAACCACTTAAGTTTACTACTTTCATCTATATTTCTCTACTTTGATTAGAGATCAGGAGAGCATACCAAATAATCTGTAAAACTGAACTTAGATCAGAGTTTTTATTACAGAAATAAAGTTACTTTGTTATGACTTAAACATAGTAAATTGGCTTTCAGTGAGTAAAAGTTATTTTTCTAATTGTTCATAATTCAGATGTTCTAGGAATTTTTAATGAAGCATCATCAAGGTCAGTGATCCTCTTTTCAGATATCTAACCATTACTAAATGTAAGAACATTATTTGCCCACCCCAAAGCCTTTAGTGTGTCATTTTCTAAAATCCTTTAAAGACAATATTATTTCTATGATCATTTTGCAAATTATTTTAATATCTAAGAATATATACTTTGCTTTGAAATTGAAAATTTAACCAAGGCTCTGTTACTTTCACCTATTTTGTGCATCTCTGCTTTATATGTCTGTTTAACAGTTTATTCCAGTTAAGGAGAATATCTTAGTGAGAAAAAAATGCAAACAAAATTGAAGCAGGGATCTGCTTTCTCCTCATTCTATCTTAACCCCACAATGTGGGTCTTTCTTGTCCTTGGGAAAAAGCATAAAGATTCTTTTTGTTACACTTAATTTTCAAAAGTTTCAGTTCATTCTGGCCATTTTTGGTTCCTCACTTAACTTTTTCATTATAAATTAACATTCTATATTTTTGATACATACCTAGAGGTCTCGATATTTGAAAAAAGATGCAAAAAAACCCTAACAATTCATGATTCTAAATGTATTATGACTATAACTTATGCTAAATACAAATATAATACTTACTTTCTATCCTTATAACAAAATCACATTGCACTGATAAACTTAGTAATTAAGTTCAATTTAATTCCTAACATGACCCCCAATTCTGCTTTTTCTATTTTTATACTTTGATATTATTAACATTTTATACAAAGGCAGAACAAAATATTTGAGTTCTTATCTTTTTAGTATTCTTTACCACTTTTCTATTCATTTTTCTTAACCATCTCCAATGACGTAATAGGAAAAAATTCACTAATATTAAGTTTTTCAATTGCCAATTTTTCCTTTTTATTTTAGTTTTCTCATTTTTGTACCGAGATAATGTTGTTTCTTAATTTTACTGAATAAAAGTAATGTCCACTCTGAAGTCATTCTATTTGCTTCCAGATCCATATAGAGTTCTAGGTTTAATACAACTTTTTTTTGCCTACTCTGTTACAATCCAACTTCTACTTGAAAACAGAAAACTGAAACAAGAAATATATTGTCAAAGATAAACAGTTGGCTTTTCTTTTTATCTCTCATACTCTTGATTGAGATCACATTAGTCTGAATCTGCTAATGAAAAATAATGTGTAGGTTGCAAAAGATTCCTGAGGATAGCTGTACGATCAGTTAGCTGTCTCATACCCTAAGTTATTTAACATAATTTTTTATAAGTTCATTTTTTTTTCATTTTGACAACTTCTCTCCTATTGAAAAAATGTTAAGCATATACCTTAACCCATAATTTAATGTCTTGATGTAAGAAGTTAAGGCTATAGTATTTGATAAGGCATTATCAAAGCTTTTAATGAGATAATTACATATATTCTACATTGGATAATATTTCGTTTGCGCTATTAACAAAAACTAGCTGAAGTTAAGATTTCAAAATTACCCATGGCAAAATATTTATTATGAAACAGATTTTTAAAACCTGAAAAGCAGGTCTGATACACAGCACTTACTTTCTATGACTGAGAACATAATGTAAGCTAAGAAGATATTACCTATTTCTAACAAAACTGTGTAGACAGAAAAAAAAAGTTAGAACAAGAAGTCTTTAGGCCAGAGTAAGATCATTAAGTATTACAGAAAATAAAATTGATTAATTTAGAATTTAATTAAAGTAGAAAATAAAATTATTTATAACAAGAGCACAGAAGTTGTGCTTCAAAAAAAAAAGTCTAAAGGGAAGGGGACGAGAAAGATGAGAAAAAGTACTACCAGACTCCTTACCCATTGTTGTTGGTGCTGGAGCTTCCTGATGGTATTTTCAGCCTGCTCCAGTTTAGCACTGGCCTCATCACTCTGCTGTTTGATGGTGGCCAGTTCCCGTTTTATGAGGTAGTTTTCCTCAGCCTCCTGGGCTCTTGTCACTTGTCCCTTAGGACATAATTTTTGTGTGTGTAAAGCAGTTTAGGACAGAGTCAAGAAAGACTGCCTTTGTGAGGTTTAGTTATTTACTACGACATATTTTTTTAAAATCACCTCAGAGAATAGAACAGCCTAAGTAATTATTAGCCAGCAGCTCATTATTGCTCCACCAAATTTTGAGAAACTAAATGAAAAATTTAGTTCATCTGATAATCTTAAGAACAATTCTTTCGGCCAATAAAAATTCAGTTCATGCAATATTACTGAGTTGTACATGCAGGACTAACATTTCAATGAATAGTAGTTAATTCCACAGAATCCACTGATTGCCATTTTGTAATACTTTAAAATAAGGTTAGCTTTAAAACGTGCAAAAGGTGGTTATTTTAATAAACCAAGATAACACACAGTTATCAAAAATAAGTTTACACCCATATATACCACCCAAAAAATTATTTCTAGTAAAATGCATGTAAAATTGCATGCATTAAAACACGAATTTCTAGGTTTAGGAATTTCCTTATATATTAGACAAAATGCTAAAAAAAAAAAACAAAAAAAACAAAAAAAACTATACCTGTATCAATCTATCTGCCAAGGAAGCACTTTCCTACAAAATGAAAAATTCAGATAGAAATATAAGAGAAAGAAATAAAATAAAGGTGATAAAATTAGGAATAAGAAGAAACAAAGCATATCCAAATTCCACTACTTTTCATGTAATTAAACTGAACATGTAGATTTTAAAACTATTTTTTATGGAATATGTTTTTATTCTTAAACCTTAAGAAAAAATATATCAAAATAAGGATAGACTGAAAAAAATTATGTGCTTCTAGAAGAGACTAAATACAAATTCCAAGAGGTTTTTCATTATTTAGGACAAATAAATATCTTTTAAAGCATACTTTTAAGTCTTTATTTTTAGAGTCAGCCATATTGTCAAACCACTTAGATGAAAGAGAGAGGGAATTTGAGCAAGCAATTCCACTTAAAAGTGTGATAGCAATTTGTGCAACCCCAACTTCCAAAGATATAGAGCAAGAAAAATATAACAAATGAAATCTATGAGCTCAATGTAATATTCTAGCAATACCTTAGTAAGCAAACTTTTTGGTTGCAGACTTTAATTGATACATACGCATTTACAGAATTCTAAGTGCTAAAGGACACATGTAGGCCCTCTAAGCCCATAAAACACATAGTTTTCTAGAAACAAAATCCAAGCTTAACACTTTTCTATAGCACCTTTATCATTCTGAAAGTTCAATGAAATAAAAATGTTTTCTCTATGAAAATGTCCTGCTCCAAAGATAAAAGACTACCTAAGAAGATGTACATTTTACTGTAAACTGAGTATTCAGTGAAAAAAAGTATATAATTAAAACAACTTAAAAACAACTAAGGTTCAACTTTTTTGCAGAATCACCAAAAAAGTAGAATTATCATGAAAGCAACTCTAGTAAGATAAAAGAAACACAGGAAAACTATTTTTGACTTAATATAATGTACTTGCAATTATTATACAACAAAAACAAACATGTAATAAGCATTCTGTCCTTCTGCAGTGCTATTTAATATGAAACCATCAATGCTTTCAAGCAAAAGACAAATATACAAACTATCCATTTTTCATTTACCGCATTCTTGAATATTGATCTACAGATTTTTCAGGGAAGACTTTAAGATACTTGACAATATCATGAGGAGTACTTTTAAACCTACTTTCTCTAATCTTTAGTTAAAAAAACACAAAAACTCCAAAAAATACCAAAAGAGTTTGTAAATTCAGATGTTTTTCTTATAATTATCCAAAACTCATACACTATATTTTTATTACTCAATACATTCTTATAGCATTAGAAACAAGTCTACAGAAGACATATCAAGAGCATACTATAAGAAAGAATGCAAAATTACCACATTTGCCCAGTTATTTTACATGAAATAAAGAACAGGTAACAAGTGGTATCAAAATAAGTCTAAGAACCAAAAAGTTTAAGCACAATTTTGCTGTGTTTAAAATCATGGTAAATTTTTATATAAGAAATCAGTCATTTTGACTAAACTTAAAACAATCCTAGGCCTTAAAGGAATCACCACCACATTTAATATGTGGCCAGAAAATAGGCGATATTTGAAATTGTTCTTTAAAGGTAACTTAATCGAGAATCTATTCTATATTGTATTCTGAAGAAGATACATTTTAGAGATTATACGTAAAAATAAAATGTTGCTGTAATAATAACCTTAGTTAAAACTTAAAAATTCAAGAATAGTGGTCAATTTTTACAAATGACAAGTTATACAGTTAAGTAGTAAGCTAGGCAAGCTAAGCAGTCAATACCATGACCTCGGAGACAACCGTGCTAGATTTCTTCAGGCTTTGCATAAAATAGACAGAAAAACAATACTGTACATTTAACAGAAGCTTGCAGAAGTAGTCATTTACTTACTTTTTCTAATGTTTCAATGCGTTGTTTTAAAAGCCTATTTTCTGTGCGTAACCTCTGCAAAAGAAAAAAAAAAAGGAAAGAAAGAAAAAGAAACATACAAACAAGAAAAAGGTTTGCAAGCATTCCTGAGAGGAAAAATAACACCTAAATGATAGTCCTTAAAAATGTACCACCTTTTATAAATTCAAAAAGAGCCTAAGGAATGGTTATATTATCATCTGTCAAATTATTAAAGGCTCAGAGTAAGGAATATATGGCAAAGGAAATGACTACATTTATCATTTCAGCTATGACTGGATTTGAAATATAAACCACAGTACAAAAATAACCCCTTTCTTTTCTGTACCTATCATAATGACTCATAATCAATACCATATTTTCTTATATGTCTTAAAATCCTCATTAGCTAGAAAAGATTCTAATTCATTTATCTCCTGCAAAGCCTATCTACATAAACAGCCTTCACATGTCTATCAAATAAACAAATAAGAAATCTGAGAAATACATGTGCATAGAATATTAAATTGTCAGTTTAGAATTAGACCAGCTTCCATGTATATATAATGTGTTTTATATGCCAAGCTGCAAAATTCCTTACAGTCTGAAACTATAAAGAATGAGTTGTGTTCATTAAATGAATTGTTCATCATGGTTTTAAACATAAGAAAATTAAAAGCTCCAATTGCTAGCATTTTTCTCGTAGTTCAAAAAGTAAAAGTAGATTAAAAAAAAATCTTCACCTAATTGTTCAATGCCTAATTCCCCAAACCTGTCAAATCACTGTCATTAAGTATTAAATCAAAAATACTCTACATTATAAAAATCTCCTTTTTGCATATTTCATCAATATAATTTCATATTAATCCCCTATATAAATTATCCCTTCATTTTAGAATCCGTGAAATGTTATCCCTTTGTTTTGTGATCACTCTAATTTCAAAACCCCTCCTATCTTTTTGTACGAATTTGCTCCACAGCTCAATCCAGCCTTCTTCCAACACCACCTTGCTCTAAATTTCTGCTAAAAATGTCTTCCTCAAAAAATTCTTCTATCAATTCAATCTAATATTTTGTCAGTAAAGACTAAAATACAGTTTATAGAACACAAAGTCTCAGACCAGAGAAATAAAATACTCTATGAATTATTGTATCTTACTAAGTGGACCACAAATTAGAACAAATAAATCTTAAGAGTTATAACAAAGATACTTTGCAGATTAGATCTTCTTGTTCTATTCACTAAAGCATTTAGATGATTTGAAATGTGTGATCTCAGACTATAAAACAGCATGGTAGTCTAAACAAGTAATTATTAAGTGCTGTTAAAGTCTAGAAAGCCAAAGAAACAAATGTGATTCTCAAAATGTTCTCAACATATTTCATCAAAAAAATTTAGAAAGTTAACCAATTGAGTGAATAAAGTTATGTTACAACAGAAATAATGCTAAAATAATAAAATGTAGTTCCTTTCTTATTCCCTTTAAATCTTCTGAAATTTTGCTAATAAATTAAAATCTAAATTGATTTTTCCCTAAACATATACCCAAATTTGTTAATACCAATTTTTAAATAAATCATCAATTCCTCATGTGTGTGATATCCACTTCATCATAAACTGGTAACTATAATAGACTTTATCAGTTAGTAAAGATTATTTCAGAATTATCTATTAAATTTCAACTGTTTTTGTCTCTTTTAGGACTAGTATCACAGTATTTTTGGTAATTATAGCTTTGTAATGTCTTTTAATATCTGGTAGAGCTAATTTCTCCCATTGTTATACTGTTTTGTTTATCCTCCCCAAACCTTAACTACTAGTGTACTAAATTAGTTAAGAGACTGGGTTTTGAAGTTAGGCAGATTTAGGTTCCAATCCTTACTCTACATTTAACACCTCTGCATGTTACTCGATTGTCTTAGAATCTCCACTTCCTCATCTAGAAAATTAAAGTAATAACACCTACAATGATATTAGAAGAATTAAATGATATAGACTTAATATATACCAAACATTTGGTTAATGATAAGCGTTGCTCGTATTTTAAAATTTGGGCAAAATAATTATTTTATTACTTTGTCTATTTTTTTACATTATTCTGAAGATTTTTTTATTTCTCTGGAATCTTGCGAGGAATTAAATTTGACTCAGTTTGTTAACATGTATTTTTGTGGGGAAATTCAAATGTTTATACAACACATAGTTATTTTTGTCTTTACCTTTTATTCATCTTTTTAAAACATCTGTATGCAAAGCTTTTCAGTGTTTATTTCTTAGGTCCTATCCTATTTTTCATTTAGGTTATTCCTAGATATGCTTTTATTTTTATTTTAAATACAGCTTCTTCGAAGATATTTTTGAAATGTTTATTGCTGATACACAGGAGAGTTAATGACTAAAATCTATCATTTGACTGACTTCTCACACATTTTTGAGTATTCCTCTTTTCAATCATATTTTCTGGAACTAATTAAAAGTGTTTTCTGTGAAAACCACGAAGAGAAATACCAATGGACATGTACACTTAAAAAAGAAATTTTTTGACCTATCAAATTAGAAAAGAAAAAATGAGATAGAGAGAAAGAATGAAATACTTAATGTTGACAAAGTATTACTGAAATGGAAACTCACTGCTAAGAAGAATTTACTCTGGAAATATTCTTTAGGAAATTTACTTAGTACATATCAAATGTCTTAAAAATACTAATATTCTATAATTCAATAATTCTACTTTTTACAACTGGCTATGAAAATTCAAGGTGCCAAAAAACTTTATATTCAAGATACTAACTATAAGCATATTTTTAATAATAATAAAAATGAGAAACAAATATCCTGAAATAGGGAAATCTTGGTTTCAGACAACCCACTCTTCAACCATCATCTCCTATTCTTTCCAACTTACTTATTTTACAACATAACCCAGGCTCAACAATCTTCCTTCTCATAGGGACAATTTAATGATCTTATTAACTTTTCATCATTCCTCACTCCCTGATGTCTTCTCTTCCCTCTTTAATTTCCAGTCATAATAGACTTTCCCTTGCTTTTATTCTCCCTTCCCCACTTCTTTCTTAATAGTTAGTATACATACCTGATGAAACCACTACTATAGGTAAACATACTGACAACTCTGTGTCTGCACCTGTGCTAGAAAAATATAGCCATGATGCTTAAATTAACAATCATTAACTTTATTTGGATTCTTAATGCATTCTAGCAATAAATATGTATTTACCTAGTCCATTCCTTCTCCTTCTCTCTTAGATCACTATTTCTTTCTTAACTCCTTTGAACCAGCAACCCTCTAACTCACTATCAAATAGTAATCTTGCTTACAATTTCACTGAAAAAACTGGATCAGAAGAGAATTTCACAAGCCCCCATAACCACATCCTACATTTCCCCTGCATTTTTGCCGCTATATTTTACTTTCTCTTTTGTTACTGTGGATTAATTATCTGTAGTAGACCAAGTGTCTTACCTATGTACTAAATCTATACCTGCCTAACTCTAGCAATTATCTTGTCATTCACACATCACTAATTTTTCCTACTTAATTATCACCATAAAAACATGTGCTTATTTCTATCTTTAAAAAGGAAAAAACAAAAAACTACCATCTACTCTTTCTTCTTGGCTTCTATACCTCTTCATTATTTTCCTGCTTTGCTGCTTTATCCTCAACTTCCTAACCTTTAAATGCTGGCTTACACTCAGGCTCAATTCTTGAACTCTTATCTATTCTATCTACACTGATTCTCCAGGTAATCTCAACTGCTCTCATGGCTTTAATATCATCACTGTGCTAAAAGATGCCAAATTTATATTTACATTGACCTGTCTTCTCTTAACTCCAAATATTCAAGGGGCTACCTGAATATCTCCTAGTCATCGCATACTTAAAATATACAAAATTAGACTTCTGGTGTTCCTCCTCAAACCAAATCCTACTGTAGTCTTTCACTCCTCAGGTAATGGAAACTCCATTTTTCTAATTGCTCAGGCCAAAAAGCTTGATTGCTGTCTCTCTCATACCTCCACATTCAATCTGTCAGCTTTACCTTTAAAATCTATTCAGAATTCAATCACTTCTTACCACCTCAATCCAAGCCACCACCATCTCTTGCCTGCATTATTTTATCAGCCTTGTACTTAAGTCTCCCCTTTTCTCTGGTTCTTGTCCCCAGCAATCTATTATTAACACAGGAGCCAGAAGGATCCACTGAAAACTTAAATCAAATCTTGTGCTTCTCAATTGCTTATCAGGGTAAAAGCCAAAGTCTTCACATAGTTAATAGCATCCTACATTATCTGCAATTCAGCATCTTACCTCTTATCATATTCCTCATCATTCATGTTGTCCCATCTACAATGGCTTCTTTAGCATTCCTCACAAGGCACACTCCTGACCAGATTCTGCTCTCCTTCCAGATATCTGTATATCTAGCTCCCTCATCTCCTTCAGGTCTTTATTTAAAAGTAACTTGGTCAATTTCTCTAAACTTTTGACCTAAACACTACTATTTTATTTTCCCTTCCCTAAGGTATTTTGTTCTCCTGTTTAACACTTATCATCATCTAAAATACTGTACATTTTACTTTTCTGTTATTGTCTAACTTCTGTACTAGAATGCAAACTCCATGAGAGCAGGAATTGGTTTGTTTCATAAACACATCTCAAGTACTTAGAACAGTGCTTGGACATGTAAGTAGGCACTGTAAGTATCTGTTAAATAAATGACTTAATATTATGCTGAATATTATGCTGCAGCCATTAGTTTTCTATTTATTTTTATTTAAAAAAAAATTTTTTTAGGCAAGGTAGCCCTTGGTCGACCTCACAGATTGCAAGGACCTTGTCAGCTTACAATCCCTTATTTTCTATTTTTACGCCTACAGCACCTGGTCTTCCTAGGTGGTCTCCCATCCAAGTACTATACTAACCAGGCCAGACCTTGCTTAGCTTCTGAGATTAGACGGGATCAGGTGCCATTAGTTTTTTAATGGAAGGGCCATAATGCCAGAGTAAAATAAGAATCCAGATCCTTCTCGTATTACTAATAGGTTAAAGTCTCTCTTGGAAAGCAGCATAGTATATACACTGAAGAACACATATGAGCCTTAAAATGACACAAATCAGAGTTCAAATTCTTGACTTTCACCCTTTTCTAGCAATGTTACCACTAGCATGTTATTTGAACTCTCTGAAACCTAGTTTCTTCAAGAAGAGGATAAGAAAACTTTCATAATACTATTCTATGAATAAAAGGAGATATGCATGTAGATGACCCTTCATATATTAAGTGTTGAATAAATGTAAGTATCAATATTAATACCTCACATTAATTTAGATAATATTTGTCATGATTTCTTTTTTTATAACAGGTAGTAGATACATATGTTTTTATATTATTCTGTTTTTAGCATATCTGGAATATTTCATAATTTTTGAAATAAGAAAAAATATTTAATTTCTGACTAAAAACCAGTCAGAATTTCTAACACTTCCCATTTGCAGGGCCTTGGATCTCTATGCTCCAAAGCACAAATTTAAATATAAATATTAGACTACCAGTTCATATGTTTGTCTTAAATAGAATGGGGGATAAAAGTTTTTCTTTTTTAAAGATTTGTGGGTTACCCTAATATAAGCTAGGATTTTAATATTTCTTACCTCCTCCCCCTCAGGTGGAACATCAATAGATTGGAAGAAGATACTGATAAAGATGTTTCTATTAACAAAAAATTTCACACAGTAAAATGTAAGATTCTCCATATAAAAGCATTACTATCAAAACCTTCCTATAACATTTTCAGAGAAGGAGTGGGAAATACTTAAAAGTCACATCTTGATCAGGGAGTTGACCGACAGATATGTCTTAGAATAAAAGGCCACCAACCCAAAGGTCTTAGAATTTTAAAGTAAAAACAATGGAAACCTTAAACATACTGTACAACATCAAAAACTGATTTTTTTATACTTCCATATCAAAACATCAAATAATTTGATGATCATAATATGTGCTTGTTTAAAGAACAGCACAAGACTGTCTCTGAAAGTTTTTGAGGAGAACCAAGGCAAGAAAGTACTAGTTTAACATAACTCATTCTCTTGTAAAAGGGACCTCAGAGGGAAGAGGAGAATGTAAGGAACTGGCATATCTCAATTTAGAGAAAGGCTCAAATAATACATGGCTAATTAATTGTAAATAAGGTGGCCATTTGATCATGACTGATCCTATAAACAAGGTGGTCATCTGATTATAACTGAGATGAGTTGCCAGGTCCAAGTCAAAAAACAAACACACCCAAACAAAGTGAAAAAAGTATAGTTTCACAAAAATTGTTTTGGCTTTGTCTTTTACCGGAGTTGAGGGGACCGAAGAAAGAGATGAAAATGGTACAAGAATAAGAAAAACTATGTGGAAACAAGATTTTATAAAAGGAAAAGACTACCTTTAAGATCAGCATACTTTATTTACTTGATATGTTCCACTAATATTTTTAACTTTTCCAGATTCTTTTCTATAAATAACGTAATGCCATCTGCTTTTGCCTAAGACATATGGAGCTGGCATGCAAAAGTATTCTGTGAGGTACTGAACTACAACTTTCCCCAAAAAACAAAATTTAGAAAAAAAAAAAAAACAACAACTGTAAATATAGGCTAGAATCCGCTGAAGATCTTTTTGAAAAGGTCTTTTGTTATTCCTTCAATCATGTGATTTAATTTTAGAAGTAACTTCTTCAAGAACAAGAACTGTTCATAGATCTGAGATTTTTTTTTCAATAACACAGCATGGAGAAATGAAAAGGATGGCTTCCCCATCCTCAGATTCTTGATTTGCAGTTCCAAATACTCCTGGTATGCGATAACCCATACTCTCTCCCCACTTATCAGGATGGCGTACTTTTTACTTTCAGTAGGCTGAAGTGGAGGGTATGATTTAATATTACCCTTAATCATGGTACCTAAAAGAAAAGCAAATGGTAGAGCAGCAGTTGGGTGACAGAATTTTTAAAAAGAAGGGAAAAATATCCATAGGGTTCTTTGTCTGTCTGTCTTTTTCTCTCTTTCTCTAAAAAATGTAGATGTATTTACTTCCAATTGATAGAAATAGGTAACAGAAATGGAAATAAAACGTCTAGAAGAGACAGACTTAATGAGGGAGAGGTCACATAGAAAAATAGGGGAGACTGTCTCCCAGGAGGTTTTTGAGGAACACCATGGCAAGAAGGAGTACTAACAGAACACATTCTCTTGTAAAAAGTACCTGTAGGATGTGAGTAATGTAGTGGTTATTTTATAGCAAGACTGAGTTAACACATGGCTAATTAATTGTGAATAGGTGATCATCCAATGTCTTGCCAGGTCCAAATCAAAACTCAGACAGACACATCCAAATAAAAAGTTGAGTCACACAATAAAAATTGTTTTATTTTTATTTCTTTTTTGAGGGAAGAGGTGAGTATTAAGAGATAGAAAATTGGATAAACCAGTCACTGAATTCCTTCACTATATCATGCTCCTACTCATCATCCCCAACCTGAAATATGAGCATAAGTGCCAATACAACTTTCCTTAACTCCCAGCTCAAACAATACCTAAGATCCTCAACTTAAGAATTTCTGGCCTTATCAGGGCTATAAATAAGAATTTTAAGGTACATATATGAATTTATGCACCTTTTAAGTTGAAAATTTATCTGTTTCTCTGAAGAGTAGTTCAAAAGTATAATTTTTGTTTAGTGAAGGACAAAGTGAAGTAGCAAAAACTTCCTGCATCTATCTCTAAGGCACTCATAATTAATTTTATGAAATAATTTGCTCTATTTGGTCTACCTTAGACTATACTTCTATTAATCTCAACATGCTATAATCTTCTCTGCAACTTTTTAAAATACACTTAAATAGAATAATTCTTTTCCACAGAAGTATTTTCACCAACATATCTAGAAAAAGGGATGAGTTGCACTCTTATACAGTAGAATGAAAACCAGTCTAGTCACATCATTCTGGTTTTTAAAGTATCCTTTTTAAACCATAATTATTAGAGTGGCAACTAAATTTATCAAAAAATAAATACAAACATCATTGCTAAATGCACTACAGGTAGGTAACAAATATATTAACATAACCTAACATCTACTGCTAAACAACTGACTTCAATCAATTTATGTTCAGCACTTTTAAAAGTCCTGAGATGCTTACTTTAATTTCAACTTGCTCTTCCATTTCTTTAGTTTTTATTGTAGTGTATTCCTTTTCAAGCCTAAGAAGGAAAAAAAATAAAGGTGTGTTTTCATTCCAAAGTAGTTATTAAATTATAAAATTTAAAACTATATTAACACAAAATATAATTTCATTAGATTCCCCCAACTTATTACTTGAGATATTTGATATGAGAAAAATCATCTAAATAGTTACAAAAATTCTTACCAAAAATTATTTTCTAAATAACAAAAATAAGAACCATACAAAAGTAAACTTTAGAAAGTAAAATACATAAGGCACCAAACAGAGAACTGAGTTTACAGTTTATTCAGCCCTAAGCTTACAAAATAACTACCCATCATTCCCCCTTAAATTACGATACATCTGTAGAGTTCAACTGGATCTGAAATCACCGCCAAAAAAGCTTAACCACAAGGATATGTACTGAGTGACAAATGCAGTGTCATTGTGCAAAAGCTTAAGGTCCATGATGAACAAAACAATATAAGATTAAATAAAGCGTAAAAGAAAATGATGCAATCAAGAGAAGTGGTAAACACAAGATGTACGAGGCAGCTGCCAGGGTAACATGACATACTATTTTACAGCAAACTGTTGGTTTTTTTTAAATAACTAGAAAGCGTACATTCTAAAATAATGATTAAAAGAATAGTAGAGCAAATACATAATCCAGTAACACAGTTGCTTATTGCCATTATCAAGTATTATGTACTGTACAAACTTGTATGTGCTATACTTTTATATGACTGGTAGTGCAGGTTTGTTTACACCAGTATCACCACAAACACGTAAGTGAATGCACTGCGATATGATGTAACCATCATCACATCACTAGGTGATAGGAATTTTTCAGATCCATTATAATCTTATGGGACCACCTGCATATATTTGGTCTGCTGACCAAAAACACTGTTGTTATGTGGTACATGACTATACTAAAATTGACTAAGAAATTTATAATGGGGGAAAGAAGACAACTATTCCTAACAAAAGAAATCCAATTAATAAGCACAGAAGGAATGAGGTAAATATAAAAGTCACTATTAGAACTCCAAAACAGTAACTGCCATAGGCAAGAAAAATCAGCGGATGCTATAATTGTAGATAAAAGTTTGAACCTAATCTCAAAGTGTTTCTCCCAATATACTTAGCAATTACAAAGGGAAAAATAGTCAACTTACTGCACAAAATCTCGGACAACATCTGAGCCAACTGATTAAGGTTAACATCACCATAACACATGTTGACATCATGCACTCCTTAATATGTACTGAGAAGGGACCCTCACTTCTGTAGTGTCCTTTCCAGTAATGAATATCCTCAATGTAATCAAGAAAAATTAACAAACCCAAATTGAAGGACATTCTACAAAATAACTAAACAGCTCACTTCAGAAGTCTCAAGGTCATGAAAGACAACATAAGACAAGCACTAAACGCAATATACTACTCTTGCAACTCTACTACAAGAGTAAAATTATCTTTAAAAAATTTTTATAGCGCATACAAAAATTAGTCCCCAAAAGATATTTTTATATCTTGTTCTCGACCAAAAATGTTAATATCAAGTTTAATGACTTCAAATATTAATGAGACTAGGCCTCAAATAACTTAGAGCTGCCTTTAAAAATTAAATTATCCCTCAAAAAAACAAAAACCTATTATTTACTATAAACATAAAATCTCATTTAGCTCACAGTAATTTTTTATTAAAGTAAAACATTTAACAAAAAGTTTACCATCTTAACTATTTTCAAATGTAGTTAGTAGTATTAAATACATTTATATAATGTTATGCAGCTATCACCACTAGCATGTCTATAGCTCTTCTTATCTTATAAAACTGAAACTCTACCCATTGAAACAATAACATTCCATTCTCCCCTCTCCCTATTCTTAGACAACAATCATTTTATGTTCAGTCTCTTTGATTGTTAACACCACCAAATATGTCATTTAGCATAATGTCCGCAAGGTTCATCCATATTATACCTATGTCAGAATTTCCTTCCTTCATTTTTAAGGCTGAACTGCCTTGTGGTTATTGAAAATACAATGAATTTTATCATACTTATACGTCACATTTTGCCTATCCATTCATTCATTTACACTTGCTGCTTCTGTGCTTTAGCTAAAATGAATACCGCTCCTATGAACATGGGTGTACAAATATCGTCTTGAAACTTTATTTCATTTTTTGGAGTATATATCCAGCAGTGGAATCACTGGATCATATGGTAATTCAATTTTTAATTTTCTGAGAAATTGCCATACTATTTTCCATAGCAGCCTTAACCATTTTACACACCCACCAATTGTCTACAACAGTTTCTATTTTTCTACATCCTCACCAACACTTGTTATTTTATTTTTGTGATAGAAGTCATCCCAATGGGTGTGGGGTGGTATCCTATTGTGGTTTTAATTTACATTTCCATAATGATCAGTGAGGTTGAGCATCTTTTTGTGTGCTTGTTTTATGGGCCATCTGTATATCTTCTTTAGAGAAATTCTATTCAAGTCTTTTGACCATTTTTCAATTCAGTTGTTTGTTTTTGGTTGTTGCTAAGTTTTAGTTCACTATAGATGCTGGATATTAATCCCTTATCAGATATATGATTGTAAACATTTTCTCCTCTTCTGTGGGTTGACTTTTTATTCTGTTGAGAGTGTCTTAGGCTGCACAAAAATTTTTAAATTTCATTAAATCCAATTTATCTATTTTTCTCTTTTATTGCCTGTGCTTTGCGTCATGCCCAAGAAATCACTGCTAAATCCAATGTGATGAAGCTTTTGCTCTGTGTTTTCACCTAAGAGTTCTATAGTTTTAATTCTTACATCCAGATCTTGCATCCATTTTTACTTAAATTTTTATGTATGGTTTTAGGTGAGTCCAATACATTCTTTTGCATATGAATATCCAGTTTTCCCAGCACCATTTGTTACAAAGACATTCCTTTCCCTATTGAATGTTCTTAGCACTCTTATCAAAAATCATTTGACCATATATATGCAAAGGCTTATTTCTGGGCTTTCTAGTCTATTCCATTGGTCTCTATGCCTGTCTTTATTCTAGTACCAAAATGTTTTGATTACTGTAGTTTGAAGAAGATTTGAAATCAATAAGTATGAGTCCTCCAACTTTAGTGCTCTTTTTCAAGATTATTTGGCTATTTAGGGTCCTTTGTGATTCTATATGAATTTTAGAATAGGCTTTCTATTTTGGCAAAAAATGTTATTGGGATTTTGCATTGAATCCATAGTTCACTTTGGATAGTACTGACATCTTAACAACACTAAGTCTTCCATTCAATGAACATAGTATGTATTTCCATTTATTTGTCTAATTTAATTTCTTTCAGAAATATTTTATAGTTTTCATTACACAAGTATTTCACCTCCTTGGTTAATTCCTAAGTATCTTATTCTTTTTGATGCTTTTATAAATGGAATATCCTTCTTAGATTGTTCACTGTTAGTGTATAGAAACACGATTTATATTTGTGTTGACTTTATATCCTGCTACTTTGCTGAATTCATTTATTAGCTCTAACAGTTTTTCTTTTAGAGTAAGGGGCTGATAGAATCTTTAGGTTTTTCTGAATGTCATTTGCCAACAGAGTTAATTTTACTTTCCAACTAGGATGGCTTTATTTCTTTTCCTTGCCTAATTGACCTGGCTAGACCTTTCAGTACTATGATGAATAGAAGTGGTGAAAGTAGGCATCCGTGCCTTATTCCTGATCTTAGAGGAAAACCTCTCAGTCTTTTATCATTGAATGTGATTCAGCTATGGATTTTTCATATGTTTTGAGATATTTTTCATATTTCATAAAATTCACATATGAATTTTACTATGTTGAGGTAGTTGCATTTCATTCCTAGTGTTGAGTGTTTTTATCATGAAAGGGTATTGAATTTTATCAAATACTTGTTCTGCATCAATTGAGATAGTCACATGTTTTTTCTTCCCCTCATTCAGTTAATAGTGGTGTATTGCACTGATCAATTTTCATATGTTGAACTATTCTGGCATTCCAGGAATACATCCTATTTGGTTGCGGTGTATAACTCTTTTAATATGCTGCTGAATTTGGTTTGCTAATATTTTGTTGAGGATTTTGCACAATATTTATAAGGCATCGTGATCTTTTAGTTTTCTTTTCGTGTACTGGCTTTGGTATCAGGGTAATGCTGGCCTCACAGAAAGTTAAGAAGTAGTCCCTCCTCTTCTACTTTTTGAAAAAGTTTGAGAGCTGATATTAGCTATTCTTTAAATTTTTGATAGCATTCACCAGTGAAGGCAACAGGTAAAGGGCTTTTCTTGTCAAGAGACCTTTGATTACTGATTCAATATCTTTACTAGTTATAGGTCTGTTCAGATTTTCTATTTCTTTGAGATTTAGTCTTGACAAACAAAAGCTAGGACTGATTGTTTGCAACTTTTTTATCTTAAAGGTACCCTTGAGCCTCTGTATATATTACCCTCCTGCCTAAAATGCCTTCCCCTTCTCTTGACCTGGCAAACTTACCCTTATAAACAGCAAAAAGAGTGAAATTTTTAAAACCAGATGTCACTTTTCTCAAAATTCTCTAATAGTTTTCCCTCAGACTTAGAATATAATTCTGGCCCCTGAGGAGGCCAACAATATCCAGTAGAACTTTTGAAAATGTTCTATATTTGTGCTGTCCAATATAGTACACACAAGCTACATATAAGTGACTAATAAGCATTTGAAATATGGTTAATATAATTGATGAAGTAAATCTTTACTTGTATTTAATTTAAATGGCCACATGCAGGTAGTGGCTACTACATAGGACAGCACAGCTTTAAAAACCCCTATATCCCCACATATCAGACTTCATTGCCCACCACACTCTTATTTGCCTATATTAGTTACACTGTTTTTTTTTTGCTGTTCCTTAAACATATCAGTCACA